AGAGGAGAATTCTGGGAAGAGGAAGGCTGAGTCAGGAGTCACCAACAGATACAGAGAAAGCAAGATATGAAGGCAGAACTGAGAAAAGGTACCAAGCCACGTGGCTAAACATGAACAAGAATTATGGGTTAATTTAAGTGTAAGAGCTAGTCAATAGTTAGCCTGAGCTAATGGCCGAGCAGTTTTAATACAAGCCTCTGTGTGTTTACTTGGATCCAAGCAGCTGCAGGACTGATGGGTGAGTGAGATTTGTCCTGACCACGGGCCATGGGGGCCAAACAGGACTAAAAAATTTCAGCTACACACCAGGCAATCTGAACCACTTTTATATTCAGTAGCCTTTCTTCCATCTGGAGTTCAACCAAAAGTAGGGTATGGGAATCTAGCTTGGGCCCGAGGCCCTGGGGAACGGTGCAGGCAAGCATCCCTGTGGCTACTGGGTGTTCTGACATGTGAGCTTAGCTGGTTCATTCTCTTCCTCTGCCACATCCAAGGGGAAATGAGAGCCCGTTGCAGCAAGCCTGTCTCGGCCCCTGTTTGCTTTGGCCACGTTGTAATGGTCTTGCTGGCTTTGCCAACAGGATTCTGGTGTTTGCTATGCCGCTGGCCTGGCTGCTGGGGCAGCTGGTGCTCTGCTCCTGATAATCATGCTACCTAACACTAGCTCCAGGAGAGTGAAATCTGTCTCCAGGTTGCTGCCCATTTCCTGGTGCATCTGCCCCTTTCTCAGATGGATGGGTCCTATTGGACCATCACCACCCCAAGACTGCTAGGTTTTCAAAAGAAGGGTGCTGTGCCCACAGCCCAGCCTTTAAAATAGCTGCCCCAAAGGCATCAGGAAGCAAGCCAGGAAAAGCCCAAAAAGATGTGGGAAGGCTTTGCTTTACATCATGTCTTTATATTTTTCTGGGGGCAGGAGTCAATATTGGAGGCATATTGAGGGGCAAGGAGGCAAGAGAGACTCCCACAGAAGGCTGCGCTGGACCAGTCAGAACGCGTGTTTTTGTAGCAGGGTGGCGAAGCATGATTAGCAGGTGCCTGACCAGATGGGAAGAACTTGTACTCACAGTAATAATAATCTCATCCCCTCCCGCTCCAAGGCCACTCCTAGAGGCTCTAGCCACCTCCAGAGCACACAGTGTGCTCACAAGAGATAGGAAATACCCTCCACATGACACACTGCCTCTGGCTTTCCCAGGCTGCTAGTTAATAATGGGAGAGTCATGGCTGGAGAAAGCAAAATAATTGAAAGCGATGCTTAGTAAATTGCAGCTTCAAGGTCTTCATTGCCTTCCCAACAATTTACAAAAGCCATTTTATTGCTTTTTTAGATTCCTCGAGTTGAAATACCACTGTGTGCTGTAATTAAGTTAAGTACATGGCAGCTGTAAAGACAAGGGTTGTGAAATGATTACATTTGGCTCGGGTAATCATCCAGCTTGGGTGGGAGGGGGCCTGGAACAGCCGCCAGGCTGCCTGGCTTATACTCCCTACCAGGGTGGAGGGAAAAATGGAATCAGCACTCAGCCTTTTAAGGTTAACAAGAGCCACCCAGCCTGAAGTGACTAGGGCCCATCCAGGGCTGGAGGGAGCCAAATGATTCCTAAAACTGGTCATGCATCAGAACCCTCCGGGAAGGTTTATTGTTGATGAGCTGGGAATGAGCCCAGGGCTCCACTCATACCAAGGACCCACAACTCCCATAGAGCAATATTTAACGTGTGTGTGTTATGTGTGTTAGTGTTATACATGTGTGTGTATGTTAGTGTTATACATGTGAGTTCATGGCCGATCAGCTCATGTGTGTGTGTGTGTGTGTGTGTGTGTGTGTGTGTGTGTTATACATGTGAGTTCATGGCTGATCAGCTTGTGTGTGTGTGTTAGGTGTGTGTGTGTGTATGTGTGTGTGTGTGTGTTAGTGTTATACATGTGAGTTCATGGCTGATCAGCTTGTGTGTGTGTGTTAGGTGTGTGTGTGTGTGTGTGTGTGTTATACATGTGAGTTCATGACCTATCAGCTCCTAGGGTCTTCATGACTCTGCCTTCTGAAAGTTGGGCTTATAGAGCAGGCATGCCTGGTTTTTTGTGTGTGTGGATCTGGAGAATTCAAACCCAGGTCCTCATTCTTGTACAGCAAGCACCTTTACCCTCCCATCTCCCCAGCTCCTAGGACAGCTTTTAAAGTTCAAATAAACTTCTCTCTCAACCAAGCTGACTCATTCAGTCCAAGCAGCAATACACATGACCTGTCCAGGTCCTTTTCCATGTGTGACACTGAGGCTTGAACCCAGGGCTCCGTGCATGTTAAGGAGCTGCTCTAACACGGACTCGAGACAACTCCAGCCTTACCCGGAGAATTTTTTACTTTTGTTAGTGTTTTGTGTATGTGTGTATGTGTATGACACACACCATGCCTGAGGACAGAAGAGGTCGCTGGATGTCCTGGAACTCGATTCACAGATGATTGTGAACTGACATATGGGTGCTGGGAACCTAATCCAGCTCTTCTCCAAGATCAGCAAGTCCTCTCAACCATTGAGCACCTCTCAAGCCTCTACACTTGTGTCTGTGTGGGTAGATATGTGAGTCTATATGTATGTGTGAGTATATGTGTGTGGGCATGCATGCCACAGCCATATGTGGCCATCAGAGGACTCCCTACAGGGGTCAGTTGTCTCCTACCAGATGGACTCAGGGGACTGGACTCAGATCGTCAACGGTGCTGGCAAGTGCCTTTTCCACCGAGCCAGCCCTGCAGTCCCCAGGATGGCTAATTTTAACAACTCGGTCTTCAGGGACATCACTTTCGTGCTTGGGTGGACCTTCTCTGTCGGGGTCGCCAGAAGACAGAGACGCATTCAAATGCTTTCTGAAGCAGATGAGGCGCCATGTCCTCCAAGTCACCCTGGCTTTTCTCAGGGGACTTTGCTCCAGTCTTCTCGTCATTTCCTTTCTTTTTCCTTCCATCCACCCCGCTGCTGTGTCAGCTCGCTGACACTCGCCACTTCCTTTTTTGGCAGCTTCTCTGAGGTCCCTCTGCTCCCCCCACCACCACCACTCCCCACAGTCAGTCATCAACCTTTTAGGTCTTGTAAACCCCGTGAAGCTTCCATCACCTTCCTCCTCGGGCCTCTTCCCCTCCAATCCGCCCTTCTCCCAGTACTAGATACATCCTCTAACACTAACTAAAACCTCTCTCCCATTCGAACCCTTCGAAGGTCTCCACTACACTCTGGGTTAACAGTTCCCAGGATAACATTTTAGATCCTTTTCATAATTCGTTGAGCAAACATTTTCGAATTCCTATCGAGTCCTTGTTACTTTGGTTTAAAAGCAAGGAGTAAGGGGCTGGAGAGATGGTTCAGTGGTTAAGAGCACTGGCTGCCCTTCCAGAGGACCTCAGTTAGATTTCTACTACCCATGTGGTGGTTCACAACCATCTGTAAATACAGTTCCAGGGGATTCAAGGCCCCCTTCAGCTGCCACAGGCACTAGGTACACAGACATACATGCAGGCAAAAACAGGGAGTAATCTGGGCGGTGGTGGCGCACGCTTTTAATCCCAGCACTCAGGAGGCAGAGGCAGACGGATCTCTGTGAGTTCAAGGCCTGCCTGGGCTACAGAGTGAGATCCAGGACAGGCTCCAAAGCTACACAAAGAAACCCTGTCTTGAAAAACAACAACAACAAAAGCAAGGAGTCAAACATGTGAAGCATCCTGCAATCCAGGCACACCAACAATTCACTATCGTGAGGGAAGCAGTAATGTGGAAAGGGGTGAAGGGCCCCTGGGGCCCCCAGTGTGGTCTCTCAAACTGCCTTTCCATCTTCATCTCCCAACATTCCTTGCTAATTCAACCAAATCACACTAGACCTTACCTATGTATTATCTTCAGGGCTGTTGTTTTCTCCTAGGCTTCTTTCTATACTGAAGTCCACAACCCATACCCGTTGTTTAAAATCGTCTTTATCCTTTTCTGACACCTTGAATCGACGTGGACTTGGCCACCAGGTGGATGAGATAGTGTTCACTTCTCATCCACAGATACTGGTGCCTAACTCGGGCTCCATCTGTGAACTCACAGCGTTCTATTGCACACTCCACAGGAGCAAGGCGTCCTCTGTCCCCATCTTCCCTCACCCCCATCAGCATTTAGCCGACAGTTCCTTTCCACAGCCTATGGATGGGCGGAGCCAGGAAGACAGCCTGAGGATTTCCTTCTTGCTGGAGACCACAGAGCGTTTCAGCATGCTAGGCAGATCATGCTAAGTAACAGGGATGGCCAAAGAGCAAGATGTCAACACAAGGCTCACTGTCCAGAAATCACTCCACATTTCAAGACGGGGACACAGAGCAGCACACCACGGGCAGAGTCCTTCTGTGTACGGGGCCCTGAGTGACTACACTGAGTCCAGATGTCTGTGTGAAGCTGGCTGTGCCTCTAGAAGCAAGGATGCTGGTACCGAAATGTCTGTTAGGGAAAACAAGCCTGGCTTTATCTTATTAACAGGCTTCAATACCTTGGATAATTCAGGTCTTTTCCTTGGAGAGGACTGTGGGGTTCAATGCTCCGGACATTGCTGAGGTGGGACATCCATTCCCACAAACATTGTGAAGTGGTACTCACCTTTAGACCTCACTTCTACCTTCCCATACTTCCTCTACAAAGACCCCCTCCGTCCCCCAGAATCCAACTCCAGAAGAGCAAAGGAGACAAGGGCCTTACATCCCATTCTGGAATTTCATCACAGCAGGGAATGAGCTGGCAGGCAGGATGAGACGTCATACCTGGAGCCTGGCTACTCTCCTGGGCAGAAGGAGAGGTACCAACTTGCCCCAGACAAGGTCATTTCAGGCTCTTCGATCCTAACAAAAGGGGCAGGGCTTCCTGTGGACCATCCATCCCAAGAAAGTCTCCCAAAGCTCCTGGCATGTTCAATAGATCAGCGAAGGGGAACTACCACCCCTCCTCCCATCGGGACCAGGCTCTTTCCCAGTATTGAGCATGGCAATTATTTTATTAATGTACACATGAGGGAAGACATATAATTTCTGCAGGGCAATGGAAGAACACCTGCAGGCTACGTACTTTCATATTACCTGTCTTTGCCAGCAAGACTGAGGGGGATAGCAGCAGGAGGCAGTCTGGGAACGGAGGTGTCAAGACTCAGAATGCCACCACGCTTAGTCCCAACTCTGCCTCCTCTTTCTTTAGAGAGAAGGGCGGAGGAACACAGGCCAGCAGGTGGAATGAGGCTCTGGACCCCTGGAAATCAGGAGTCCTCCCCTCACTCCTACCTCAAGTTGCTTATCCTGGGTGAGTGTTCTGGATGACAATGGCCATCCTGTGAGGGAGTCAGAGAAGCATCACAGCTGAGACAACTGTCTGAGGGGGCAGCACTGGGTCCCTAGAAGTCCTGGTCCCATATTCCTGCAGCACTGTACTGACGGGGACGGCACGGAAGGCCTCTGTCCTCAAAGGTGCCAGTGAGACGTAGTTATCAGACCAGAATTTCTAGATGAGGAAATGAAGCTTCCAATCCACTCTGTAGACGTTGGAGACACTGTAGGAAGAGACAAACCATTTCCTGGAGTAAGAGGTGGGAAAGGAAAAACGGCAAAGATCCAGTCTGATTCTAGAAAAGACGAAGAAAAAAAAAAGAAGATTATCTCTTGCAAAGGCCTCTGGAATGGTGAAGTTAGCTAGTTCCCCTTTTTTCTCTTTGTGACGCTGTGGACGAAGCAGGGCAAGTGTTCTGCCACTGAGCTACACCCCAGCCCTAAAGTCACCGGCATCGTTTCTACCTAGTGCTTAGGAGAGCCGCATCTGTGGTCACCAGAAATTCATTTTACCTGTATAATTACTACCCTGGTTACCTGCTCCATTCCCACCCAGGACACTTGCTATGGATCAATTAACCCGGGTGCGATGGCTGACTGTGGGTGGTGTACAGGAGGTGGTTAAAAAGCTGTATACCCAATAGGGGCAAGTGTGCACAGGCCCCGCCCTGACCAGGCCCCGCCCCTGACCAGGCCCCACCCTGACCAGGCCCCGCCCCTGACCAGGCCCCACCCCTGACCTGGCCCCGTCCCTGACCAGGCCCCACCCCTGACCAGGCCCCACTCTGACCAGGCCCCGTCCCTGACCAGGCCCCACCCCTGACCAGGCCCCACTCTGACCGGGCCCCGCCCCTGACCAGGCCCCGCCCCTGACCAGGCCCCACCCCTGACCAGGCCCCGCCTCTGCCCAGGCCCCACCCTGACCAGGCCCCACTCTGACCGGGCCCCGCCCCTGACCAGGCCCCGCCCCTGACCAGGCCCCACCCCTGACCAGGCCCCACCCCTGACCTGGCCCCGTCCCTGACCA